CATGCAAACTTCTGAAACCAAGACCCCCCGAAGATTTAGAAGTGGAGACCGCTGTCCAATTACGCCAATGGATTTTATTCTCCTTGTCTTTCTGATCACACTAAAATCGAGCAATCAGAGTCAATTTCCTGGTAGAAAGTGACTGAAAAAATGAAGCAGTTCATCGGGTAATTGAGAATAGCCATTACCACCGCTTTGATCAATACCTCACGGCCCGATAGAGAAATGGATGCGTGTTTCCAGCTTTGAATTGTTTGAATTATCCTGTCCTTTACAAACCCTAGAGCCTCATTCTTAGACCAACCCTAGATAGTTGGGAGACCAAGATATTTACCAGGATCTAGAGAAGGTGGCATGTTGAAGAAACTGCATGCCTCATCAATGATATGCAAATGGAGTTGGCAGAGAAGACAATCGAAGACTTCTGTTGGTTGATGGCTTGTCCCAAGGCGATGCAGTAAATGTCAAGAATGTCCCTCAAAGCCCGACAGTTATCAGGATCCGCGTTAATAAAGAAAAGGGAGTCGTCGCCAAAAAATAAATGTGACAGTGTAGGATAGGAAGAGCCCAGAAGAATACCTGGGAACAATTTGTTCATACAATGATTGGCAATTAAAGCATATAGAGCTTTTGTAACAAACAAAAATAGATATGAAGACAGTGGATCTCCCAGCCAAAGATCTCGAGAAGGGAAAAAATGAGTCACTCGCTTTCCCATTAAAGGAGACAGAAAAAGAGATTGTCTTAACACAATTCATAACCAAGGAAATCCACTGAGGATGGAAACCAAGACGGATAAGTACTGCCTCAAGAAAGTCCCATTCCACTCGGTCATAGGCTTTCTTCATATCCACTTTCATTCCCAGTTCAAACACATGCTTTGTTTTCTTATTTTTATGATAGTGGAAAGCCTCAAAGGCCACAAAAATATTATCTTGAATTTGACGACTTGGAATGAAAGAACACTGGTGATGAGAGATAAGGCTAGGAATATGCACTTTTAAAAAAATTGCCAAAAGCTTGGAAAGCACTTTATAGGAGAAATTGCACAAACTAATCGTCCAGAATTGAGAGTTATGTTCCGGATTGGGAACTTTTGGAATCATAACCAGATTGGTGGAATTCAACATATGTGGGAACTTGCCTTGGCTAGAAAATTTAGAAACCACGCTCGCCATGAGACAATTGATAGTAACCCAACAGCATTAGTAGAACATACAATGAAAGCCATTCGGGACAAAAACTTTCAAACCACCTAACTTATGAACCGCAACTTTAATATCTTCCAGAGTGAAGGGTTGGAGCAACTCACAGTTGATAACGTCGGAGACAATAGAGGTAAGATCAGCAAAAATCGCGTCAAAGGCTCGAAGGCCCACTAATGTGAACAAATTTTTGATGAAACCATCAATATGGTTCCAAATCTCTATATCCCAATAAGCCAAATTTCCTCCTCAGCTTTGAGGTTCAATATCCTATTCTGTTGTTCACGTTTGAATGGTAGTTCCGTGAAAAAAAGATGTATTTCTATCTCCATCCTTAAGCCAAGAGATTCTCGAGTGTTGGAGCCAATATAGTCCTTCCCTCATCCAGGCATTTGCCAGCAAGCAAGTAATAGACTAAACCACTTCTTTTCTTATTGACGGAATAACTTGGTGTTCATTAGCCTTAAGCTTAGACAGCAATCGGTAAATTGTTCAGCGATTATTTATGAATTTTTTTACTCCAAGCTCCAATTTTTTCCTTACAATTAGCAATATTAGATAACCAAGATGAAAAGTATGAACCATCCACAGATGGGAACTCGGGATCCTGATCCTATGATAATTCCAAACAAAATGGCCTAGGGTTAGTACTTAAAGCATGAGGAAAATGAAGAATCAAAGGACGATGGTTGGACCCGATAAAAGGGTCGTGATAGTGAGTCGCTGCCTACCAAGTCTCCAGCCAAGAGTCTTAACAAGAACACAGTCCAATCTTTCTTCAATTCTACCCAACTCCTCCCAGTCATTTTCCCAAGTGAACTTAGGGCCCAAACAGCCAATATACACCAAAGCTTTTGTTTGAATGAAATTCTTGAGATAACATTGACGATTTGGCTCCCACTCCTTACCACCGGATTTTTCATGTGGTCATAAGAGTTCATTGAAGTCCTTAATGCATATCCAAGGCCAACCCCTCACAGAAAGAGACAAGCAGTTAGTCTCCCAAAATTGCCATTTTTGGTGGTTATGAAGGGGACCGTAAAACCAATAAACATGGATGGTAGAGTCAACAACAGAATCCTACACGATGGTATCCAAAATAAAAACAGAGGCAAACATGATTTGAAAGGAAATATGGTCTTTCCACCAAAGACATAAACCACTTGATCTTCTAGAAGATGACACAAAATAGCAATTGTTGAAACCTAGGGAGCGACCAATGCGCACAATACCCCCATCTTTACATTTAGTTTCAGATAAAAATACAACCAATGGCTTATTTATTTTTAATTGCTCTCTAAGAGTATCAACTGTCAAGTCTTTTCCAATCCTTTAACAGTTCCAAGCAAGGTAGATTATTTTGGACCCGTGGCTACGTCGGGCCAGCCACCACCACCCTAAAGGTTATCAAGGTCCTCCACAACCACCGGAGCTTTACCTTTATCATTTTTTGCTAGGGTAGAATCAGAACTAGGTAAGTTGAGTCCACCGCCACATCTTTCGGCTGTGCAACCCAGATAGCCGCCAAAGGAGAGAGGCTAACTTGATGACTAACATAAGGCCTACGGGTAAGACGAATGTTCTGATGGGTAGCATGAGTCACGGGGCAATTCTTTTGAGTAGTTGCCTTACAGGATTCTAAACTAACCATCATAACCAAAACAGTTGGAGTTTGGGTTCTTTTTTTTTGTGTGATAATGTTGGGGATAGAGAAATCCAAAGGTCTTTTTAGTAGAGTTTTTGCTAGGGGGGAGGACAACAGAATGCCTCCCGTACTATACTGGATGTATGCTGCAAATGACATCACTTGGGAAGCCGAAGAATGAGGCGACAAAGTACTAGATGAGGCTGAATGGGTAGTTGGTGTTCAGATAACTTAGGTGTTGGAATTATTTTTGGAAATTCCCAAGATATCAGTAAGGGTTTCCATAGCCTCATTGGAGAAAAAGGTAGTTGAGATAGCAGGTTTGTTTCCACCTTTTGGGTGAGAGGATGAGGGAAGTTTGTTGAAAGAGTGATATGGTGAGGTATGATATGTGATGGTGATGGGTCAGTAGCCGACAAGGCTGGGATATTTGAAGACTATTGAGGTGTTTGATAGGAGGTGGGGTCATAAGGTCAAAAGGAATAAGTCCTAGAATTAATGGTGGGGAAATTTCTCTGAAGGTAATCAAAGGCAAAGATATTTTGTGGTGTAACAGAGGGGGTGTTAACATTAGTGGAAAGTTGGAGCTTCAAGGATGGCCCACCAGTATGCATGGTAGAGGTCATTGACGTCGCAACTGCATGGGAACTTTGAGGCCTAATCGAGGTTGGTATCCACGACATTGGGTAAACCGCGCTGGAGTTCGATCCATTCCACCTCTTAGAGGGGCGGCCACTGCTGCTGCTTGCATAAGGATTGAAGGCCTAGAATTTATGCACTTTAACTTATTGGCTAATCTTATTAGTAGTGTAAGGGAATTCATTGTTGAGGTTCCTGACCTTGTAAGCATAGTACTGATCCAGATGCCCTAACTTTTCACACCTAAAACAAAAGTTAGATAGGCGTTCATATTTGAAGACAACTCCTAAATCACATACATTTGCATATATAGATAATCTTCAATAATTTTAACTTAGAAAAAAAAAAGTATCTCATCTCCTCTCTCTAAACTTCTCTTTGTGAAAGACTCAGCAATTTCGCCGTCGGCCCTAGCCTTTGGCTTGGGTGCCAGAGGCATCCTCATTTGTTCCCTCCATTCTTCATTCTTTTCTTCTTTTCCTCCCTCTTCTCTATTTCCTCCTGAGTTTTCTCAGGTTCTCATTTCTTTGCACTTTCCCTATTTTCCTTCCCCCTCATCTCCTCTGCTCCTCCCTCTTCCTACGTCCCTCCTTCTTTTTCTTCATCTTTTCCAGTTTTCTCCTTTCCCTTTTAATTATCGATTCTCCCCTGAGTTTAATCTCAGTTTTCCTTGAGACGAGTCTCAACTATCCGGGGCTTCTTGCCTCTTATCCGATGTTTTTTCGCCTGTTTTTACTGCTTTTCTGTCTTTTATTTCCTTTCCTCCCTCCTGCCTAGTTGTGATACTTCATCCCCATCCCACCATGTGCTTGGATCGGTTGGCTCTGATAAAAAATTGGATATCAGATCCACTTCCCCCCTCACTTCCCCTCCCCCAACCAACATGTCGGATCTCCATCGAGGCTGAGTGTTGGGTATGTTACATACCCCTAGCCTCACCTTCTTCTCATATGTTACTTTGTTTGTATATTTTTGCAGGAGTTTGTGAAGGAAACTTGGATCTGGTGTCTACTTTCTCAGTTTGAAGTTTGGCTTCCTCCGAGGATGTGACGACAGCAGCAATGTGGTCTTTGCTACTGGAAATTAGGGTTTTTTATTGCCTGTTTTCTGTTGCCTTCAAGCCTAAGCTTGTGTGGGCCTTCCATTGTATCTTGGGTTGCTGCTCTCATTTTACTTGAGCCTTTTACTTTCCTGTTGTTGTTACCCGGTCCTTTTTGGGGCGTATAGGTTTTTTTTTTTTTTTTTTTTTTTTTTGGAATGAAAGTTGTCATTCTTATTAAAAAAAAAAAAAAAGGTAATCTTAAATAAAAAATCTGTCACTTTAGACTGAAAAAAAAAAAGGCCCGAAAGGCCATCCTTGGGCAGCAATACAAACTTCATAACCCTTGCAGCAACATCTTCGACAGAAAAGATGCCGAGTTTGAAGTTTATATCTGTTTTGACAAATCCAGGGCAGAGACAGTTGACACGAAAATTGGGGTACTTGTTCGCTAGAACCCTTGTATATGCATTCATTGTCGCTTTTGAAACTGTATAGGCAGAGTGAAGACAAGGCCATCCTTTGCTTTCAAGTGAGCCCTCCTTAAAGTCTTTCCGGAACTCTCCAATACCTCGTCTATTCTTTCTTCTGTTAGGCTCTTGGCATCACTGAAAACTTCTTTCGCCCAATCAATTGGTATTAAGCTTATCTTTCCCATGGAAGATGAAATATTAACAATTCTTGGCGAATTAGATAACTGGAGGAGAGGAATAAGTGCTTCAGCTGTTCTTTTAGCCCCATAATAGTCTGTTTGCAAGCACTCTTCTGCTAACTCATAAGTTTGAGTCATTGTTTTATTACAATTGGCTTTACCTTCTTTCTGCAGCGCAGCCACATAAACAAGAACATGTTACAGTTTGACATGCACATCAGTCATGGCACTACCACAGTGAAAAATCTTTTTAGGGTAGAGGAGGGAAAATAGAACTTAAAGGCCATCAAAATTTAAGAACAGTGCAGAAAATTTATTTGATGCAAAAAGTGAAACGGGAAGGTAGCAGCTTGGAGGAAAGCTTCAAAGTTACTCTAGATTATATCCGGGAAGCATCCGAGCACTAATGAATAAATTCTGGAACGGCATTAAAAATATCATTTGCGCCCTGTGAGAAGTCATGTGAAAGGCTTACCGCACCTTTAAAATAGCCAGCATCTACCATGGCTCCAAGAATCCCAGCATTGTTGACGAGTGCAGAGCCCAACTATATACTTTAATATTTGTTTTGTTTCAGCCACACAGAAAAAAAAAAAGAAAAAGAAATTGGAGAATGCAAATGAAAGCAAAGTTGGTGGATACTTTGATGTGTTGGGACTCTATTGAATTGTCACGAGCATAATAAGGACGATCAAACGTGGAATTAATTAATTAATGACAAAATCATTTAAAGGATAAAATTCTTTGTTTGTAGGACACTAAATACGTGCATTAGTTGTGGTTTAACGACTAACAAGTGTGAAGGTTTTTTAGGCTTTGACGATCCCACAATAGTTAGGATGCAATTGGGTTATAAGTCTATATAGGAGGTGTCCCTGCTCACAGGAAGATTACGTTGAAACAATTACTAGAACTATCACTAGGGTCTTGATATCAAATTCCTCAGTGAGTAGAAGACTCTCTTGGTGTTGCTGTCTTTGCTGATTATACCATGGCATCCTCAGGTAGGATCATCGTTCTTTACTCAGACTCCTCAAAGATATATATATATATATATATATATATGTGTGTGTGTGTGTGTGTGTGTGTGTATGTTGTTTGTGATCCTTGGTGAAGACTAACCAATTATAGGTCAATCTGGAATGGTCTAACATTTGGTATCAGAGTAAGGTTAGTCTACTTGGATTCAGAACTATTTTAGTTTAAACATATCACATATAACCCTCAGTACTTGCAGAACAAAGTTGAAGAATTTTAAGCAAACAAGATTTTGCACCAATGCACAATTGTTTAGAAGATCACATCAAAATGGGATTTTGTCAAGTATTGTTGCATGAATTAGGTCGCAAGATATTGTAATTCATTTAATCATAAGGAAACTAACGAAAAGTCCAAAAAAACTTTAGTTTTAATGAAAAAGAATAAATAAAGGTGTAGGGAATAGTACCAGGGAAAGGTAAAAGTGTGATTTTTCGTTAAAAGTGAACAATACCGTGAGTGTTTCGTTAAAACTCCCTTTATCATAACATACATATTGCCCTCTTCAAAAAGGGAGTATATGAATTAGATCCGGTAGTTTCTGACACGACACGAAAACGACACGAAAATAACGGGTTTCGGGCCAACACGATAACTTATCGGGTTATTATCGGGTGACCTGTTAATAATGGGTTCTTAACGGGTATACACGTGGGTAACCCGTTTCGACCTGTTAAGAAAAAATTTATTTTGATAATTTTAAAGTTTAATTACTAAAAGATTTATTATAAAATACAATAGCCATATTAATATATACAATATATTCTATATTAAATATATAGTTTTGTATTATTATTCTATATAAGTTTTAAAAAAAAGTTTTAGTCATTATTTATTTTTATTATGAGAGTTCCTTATTATCATTACTAGGATAAATTTTACTTAACACAATGTTGTCCAAAATTAAAATAAATTAATATAGTATTTGTATAGGCAAGAACTAAGAAGACATACATATAAGTATGAAAAATGTGAAAGAATATATAAACACTCGTGATTCATCATTATTCCTCCAAGAGTAGATAATGGTTACACTTACATTATCGTTTAGATTTTTAAAATCCTCCAAACCTTCATGAATAATGTTTTTCATTTGAGGGAAACAACAATCAACGGTTAAATTTTGATCTATGATTTATATGATTATAGTGACGAATTTCGAAGTTACGCTCTTCATGAAAGTTGTAAAGCTTGTCATTATGAGCATTTATCTATTTTTTCTATATTTTTTCTACATTTTTTTACACTTCTACATTAATTAAAAAACTATTAAAGACTTTAAGTAAGTGAAAATATACTTAAAAGCAAAATGCGTTTTTATGTTTTGGATGTGATAATATGGTATGTATATACTTGTTTAGTATTATGTTTTTTATTTGATTATTTATTGGTTTAAAATATATTTTCCTTAACAGGTACGGGTCAGGTCATATTACTTGTTAATGTTATCAGGTCGATTTCAGGTCGGGTTATTTTACCTATTTATTTTAACGGGTGTTACACGACACGACCCGTTAAGATATTGAGTATGACACGAAAACGACGCGAACACGGAAAACACGATATGAATGCCAGGTCTAATATGAATGGTTTGATTAGTGACTTAGGGAATAATGGTTATTTTGATATTAAATTGATATAATTCTTGTCCAAAGACCTGAGTTATGAAGGTGTTTAATATTAAATTAAGTAGCTATGTTAATGAAACTTGCAGTAAAGTGTATCTTGCCCAAGGGTGCTACCTTGTACTGCATGCTGTTTTCATTATTTGTTTCACTAACAATTTGTAGTGGCATCCTCAGTGAATCCCATGTCCCTAAATTTTTACTCTATCGAGCTGGTCAATGGAGGAAATTACAAAAAATGGCGATAAGATGTAGAGATTATTTTGGGACTAATGAACTACGGTTTGGCATTTAGAGAAGATAAACCATCACCACTGGATGCAACTAGCACAGCTGCTCAAAGGTTGAAATTTGAAAATGGGAAATAGCTAATCACATGGCGTTACTTGTGATAAAAAGATCAATTGGGGAAACTATGAGAGGGGGATTGCTTGCGAGTGACAAAGCAAATAATTTCCTTGAAGGCATTTAGGCAAAGTTCAAGGTCTCTAAGAAAGGAGAGATAGGTAACCACATGACAACCCTAACTATGAAATTTGATGAAAGTCACACAGTTAAGGAGCACATACTAAAAATGGTGGAGGCAGCGGCAAAGCGCATTGATCATGAAGTGCCTATTGATGACTCTTTTGTGGTTCATATGGCTCTTAACTCTCTTCATGAGAGTTATGAGCAGTTGAAGATATCCTACAATGCTAAAAAAGAAAACTAGAGTTTGAATGATTTAATTTCAATCTGTGTCCAAGAGGAGGCAAGGATGAAATGAGGAAAACAAGAGGCTGTTAATGTGGTGAGCACAAACAAAGGAAATAAGCATAATGTGATTTTTGGTAAGCCAAACAAACCTTTTAACTTTTCTCACTGTGCTGGAAATGATACTCTCTTTTCCGAAGGAGCTCAAGGTTTTAGGGTGAATATGGAAAAAGGGACTATCCAAAACATAAGAAGTGGGGAAATCAAACAGGTAATAAAACTGAAAACGTTTTTGTTTGTGTTAATATCAATCTTGTTGAAGTCCCTCCAAATTCTTCATGGTTTGACATGTCGTTCGATGCATGTTACCAATTCATTGCAGAGATTCACAAGAAGGGAATTTGCAAGAAATGAAGTCTTTGAAGTCCACATAGGAAATGGAAATAAGGTGGCTGTGGAGGTGATAGGCACTCTAAAGCTCAAGTTGTCAACTAGTTTCGAATTAGAATTGTTAGATGTTGTTTATGTTCCTAGTTTAACTAGAAGTTTAATTTCAACTTCCAAGCTTGTACAAACTGGTTACGCTTTTATTGGCCACAATAAAAGTATAAGGATTTTCAAGAAATGTAATCTCAACCTTTTACTTGGTATTTGTTTATTGGAAAATGATTTATGGAGATTACATTGTGATGTTGTTTCAATTGCAAATTGCCTACAAATGTCGTCAATTCTTAAAGTAAAAGATCATTGGTTAATGAAAAGTCCTCTATGCTTTGGCATAGGAGGCTCGGACACATAAGTAAAATGAGATTAGAACTTTGATGACCTACAAAACTATGTTGATTGTTGGAAGGGGAAATTAACAAACACAAAGAAAATTGGATCAACAAGGAGTAAAAAACTCTTGGAAATAATTCATTCAGATGTTTGTGGTCCTTTCACCACTAAAACTATTTGCAAAAATGTCTATTTTGTAACTTTTATTGATGATTTTTCTTGGCATGCTTATGTTTACTTAATATCCGAGAAAAATGAAGTGGCTAGTTGTTTTAAAACTTATCAAAATGAGATAGAAAAACAACTAGAAACATCAATTAAAATTTTGAGGTCAGATGGGGGGGGGGGGAGAGTATTATGGTAGGTACACTGGGAAAGGGCAACAAAAGGGTCCAATGGCAAGATACTTGGAGGAAAATGGCATTCAACCTCAGTACACTACTCCCAGCACACCACAACAAAACCGTGTGGTCGATAGAAGAAACAGAACTTTGAAGGAAATGGTAAGATGCATGATGAGCAAGACCAATATTCCAATGTTCTTGTGGGGAGAAGCACTTAAAATGTCAAACTATATTTCAAACCGTGTACCGAGCAAATTAGTGAATAAAACTCCTTTTGAGTTGTGGATATCAAGGAAGCCAAGCCTCAACCATCTTTACGTGTGGGGCTGTTTTGCAAAGGCAAAGACAAAGATGTACAATCCAACAGAAAGAATGCTTGTCCCAAAAACGGTGGCTTGCCATTTCATTAGGTTTCCATAAAAATCAAAGGGGTACATATTCTTCTCACTAAGTTTATCCACAAGGATTTTTGAAACTAATAATGCTAGGTTCATTGAAGATCAACAATCTAGCAATGAAGGTTTGAAGGAAGTGGTTTTTGAAGAAGAGGATTTAATTGGTTTGTCATCCTTCAAAGAAATTCCAATGCATGCTGACACAATTAATTTTGGAGATGTGGGAATTCTAAGTCAAACTGATTGTATGGATCAACATGAATTGGAAGACGTGCAACCACAAATATTAGAAATGCAAGAAAATACTCAACAAACCACCACGCAACAAGTTCCAATGCAAATGAGGCAGTCACAAAGACATATGAGGTCTCCATTCTCGAATGACTATTTAGTATATGTGGGAGAGGTTGAGCATGAGGAAGGAATTGACAATGATGCAATCACGTACAACCAAGCAATTAATTGTGATAAATCTAATGACTGGAAGGCTGGAATGAAGGACGAAATGGATTCGATGAAGTTTGGGAATGGGTGGAAATAGACGAATCTATAAAACCCACAGGATGCAAATGGGGTTTCAAGACAAAGGAACTCTATTGGGGCAGTTGAAAGGTATAAAGCGAGGCTTATTGC